TTGTGGACCGACGAAGCTACATTCACAACAGCGGGAATATTCAACAGACAGAATAGTAGACACTGGGCGTCAGAGAATCCCAATAAAATTTCTCAAATTAAAGTTCAGGGAAGGCAATCAGTACACGTCTGGTGTGGTCTTTTTGACCAAAAAATAATTGGCCCCATTCTATGCAATGGCAATCTGAATGGAAGAATTTACTACAATTTCCTAACAAATGAAATAAGAAACCTACCTAGGTACCTCAAAATATCATATGGCAGCAAGATGGGGCTCCTCCGCACAATTCAAGGGACGTGAGAGAGTTTCTGAATGCCCAATACCATGAATGGATTGGGAGGTTTGGAACTATTTCATGGCCAGCAAACAATCCAGATCTGACGCCACTAGATACTTTTTTATGGGGCTACTTGAAAAATAAAATTTATAGTGAACCAAATGAGAATATTAACGAACTTAGATATAAGATAATCGAAGAAATTGATTGTTTGAATAGGGAGCGCTCGGGAATAATAGCAAAATCAATTATCAATCTGGAAAAAAGGTATATGCTTTGCTGTGACCATCAAGGGCAGCATTTTCAGCAATTTTTGTAGTTAGGTATATGAGTTCTGTAATTTAAATTTTGTCTGTTAGATTGAATTTGTTACAATCAATATAATATTCATGATCGTTATGATTAAATAATTGTTAGAAAAGTTTTTGATTATTTTCAATAAGTGGTCACGATGTTTCTGCTTGTATTTGATAATGTATACATGTAACGGCGAAGCTTTGGAATTCTTTGCCAATGGAAGAATTCCCAAGAACTTATATCCTCCAAAAGTTCAAAAAAAAATTCAACACCTACCACATCTCCCTATCCTCCCTAGGTATGCACGATTTTCGATGATCTGAAAAAAAATAACGGGAGGTATTCGACTCCCGACTCTCAATCATGGATAACTCTATAGTTGCACGATAAAGATGCCATCCCACACAAAATGTTGTTCTGGGACCAGGAAAATTGTGATTAACGAAAAACAGTGAAAGATAACATAGGTACTGTACATTTGTATATTTGTGATCGCAAAAGATCACAGATCTCGAAAAAATATAAAAAACAGGGTGTTCCATTTAAAAAAATTGATTTGTGGTTTGCCACGCTCTTAGGAATCACCCTGTATAACCTCTGATGAATGCCTTAGAAAGGTCCCATTGCGGCATTAAATTTCCGCATATTATTTTTTTTTCTAAGTGAAAGTATAACGAAAATATGGGGGTGGGCCTTCTCGATGGATAACCCTGTACATTTGATCACTAGGTATGCAATATTTTACTTTAAGCAACTTGTTACGAGAAGTAAGACGTTTCAAAACTTCCGTCAGTTTTAAAAAGTGTCACATTTCATGTCAAAATTACAAAAAATATTTAAATTGACCTAACATGTTGTCAGGCACTTTTCTATTATAAATTTGAAACGAAAACTTGTAAAATTTTGCTGATTATCGCGAGAAGCAAGTGAAGTGACCAACTTTAACCAAATACTAGTATCATGTTTTTTTAATCTATGCTAGTATCGAAGCTCCAACGTGAATGCATAGAAGTAAAATGTCGACAAGCGTCTAGCTATACCATTTCCATAGATGGCTCTGAATTCCAAAGACCTATATAACGTAATATAAGGAAGGAAAATATCCTGTCTGTATACTTTTTTCAAAAGAACATAACCTAACTAAGCCTGTATGAACCTTTTTCCTATAAAATGTATATTTCCGAAAATTACTTAACCCGGCGTCGCCCAGGTGGGGTTTCAGATGGCCAGACAAATATTGAATCACTGGCATTTCTATTTCAAGGCACGCACATTTCTTTGGTTGCCTATAGCTACCCAAAACACTTATTCATTCTGTGATATTCTGGTGCAAATTCAATTTTTAGTTAACTCCCAAGATAGTGACAGTGCAGTAAACAGCTATGGGGGTCTGAGAAGCCCCACCTGTGTAACAAAGATATATATTTTATTCTTAGAGATACATGTAAATTCCCATAAGAAAATGGATCATTTTTTTTTTATATACTACATGTTACTTTTCCAGCTGATAACTTGAACATTTTAATTATTAGTTTTGCATGAAATCTTTCAGAATTGAGCGTTGTTCATTTTTTAAACAGTTTCCAAAGATATCATGTTTTTTTTTTTTTTCGTTAGACTTTCGCCATTTGTATTTTGTTAATGATATCTAACGAATTGAACATGTTATAAAATGTTTCTGTTTATAATCATGAAGTGAATACATCAAAAAACTCAGCTGTACCATTTTAGAGTAAAAAGTATAGTTTCATATTTCTTGGTAAAATTGCCTAAAATTGCATTAACAAAGAAGTTAGCGCCTCTGATCAGAATTTCGCAAAATTGTAAAAGTTTTCAAATCGGGCATAGAAGGTATATGTACAAAATTTGGTTATTTCATCACAGAGGGTTTCAAAAATATTTACAATAAACCACCATTTCGGGCTCAACTTCATTTGGCTATAAAACATGTTCATATGGAGATTTTTCACTAATTTTGTTCCTAGAATGTGTGGTTGTAATCTCTCTATGTAATTTCGGGACACCCTGTATAGAAACTACCGAATATATGAGCACGAGAAATAAATGCAGACAGAAAATACATCATATCATTCAACTTTGTGATGTTAACTTTTGTGTTTTAAATCATTTACTGGGTTGCTACTCAATTTGGAATCATATATTTGCAATTCAAATATGTTCATTCTCAACTTTTAAGTGTCAAAATGAGTTCAATTTGAAATTGATTATGAGAATGAGCAGTCTCGATCAGAAGTTGAGAAGATATTGTTTTTTTTTTGTAAAAACTTCACCAACGATGGGATTTCCACAAAATTCTAAGTCACACGACATGTTTCGCTAACACAGTAGCTTCGTCAGGTGAAATACTGGTACAATTTCACCTGATGAAGCTATTGTGTCAGCAAAACATGTCGTGTGACTAAGAATTTTGTGGAAATCTCATCGTTTATGAAGTTTTTACATTTGCTATGGATTTCCATCAAGTATAACGACCGAATCAATTCAAAATTAGTTTTTTGTTCTTCGTATCCTATGAAATATGTACGCTACTGTACGTTTGAAAGCAATTCAACAAAATTCAGTCAATAACCATGCACAACAATTTGTTATGTACTTTTGTACCCGTATGGGTTGTTGCCATATTAATTATGATTGGAATATTTTCGTTATTGTATGAAAAAGTACCCATCTATCTTAAATTTTGGGTGATTTTGTTTTGGCACATGGAATTTATCAGAATTTGCAGCTACACATACCCATCGAAAAAACTAACTTTCAATTTAATGGCATTTGAACGTTGACAAAAAAATTTTCGCCGGTGGCCCTTTCATTGTTATATACTACCATAGATTACTACTAATATCATCATATTATCGGGTACTCATCAGACTAGTTCCTAGGAAGGCTTTCCTGGAATCTTAACCGAATATAAAGTTATTTGGAACATATAACTCCATAATTATAATGAATGGTACAATTAAGGTAAAGGGGTATAGAATAATATGCAGGGTATCCCATCAGATGTTGTTTTATTTTTTGTATCCCATTTGATCTGCACGCTACTGTACTTTTGATAGCACTTTAACAAAATTCAGTCAAAGTCCTTGCACACCACTTTTGTACCTGTATGGGTTGTTGCCATATTCATTATGGTTGGAATGTTTTCGTTATTGTATGAAAAAGTACCTTTAATTTCGGGTGACTTTGTTTCAGCACATGGAATTCATAAAAATTTGCAGCTGCACATACCCATCGATAAAACTAACTTTCAATTTATTGGCATTCGACATAAAACAACAAAACTTTCGCCAGCGACGCTTTCATTGTTTTATACTATCATTTTAGGTCATCATATATAAAATTCAGATACTCATCACACTAGTTTCTGAGCACGCTGGCCTAGAATCCTAGCCGAATATAGAGTTGAAACCTAGTGAACCTACAACGCATCATTTTTCAATGGCCTCCTTGGCCACACATCTTTCTCCAACCAAATTTTTTCTGGCCCTGCATAACTTTTTAACCTTATGTCTAAGCGGATTCAAATAAGTTCTTTTCATTCTTCGACGGTATATTCATCATATAAAATCGCTACAGGGTGTCACCTGAAACTGTAAAGAATTTCTGAATTTTCAAAAGGATCCCAAATGAACAAAAACTTCGTTTTTTCAACTTTCACAGCAGAGGATACAAGATGATCTCATTACCTTAGGAAATTTTTCAAATTGTCTTCTAATCTCTTTTATTTACAGAGTGATCTCAAAAATGCATCTTTTTGGTTTTGCAGTCGTATGTTTCTTCCATGACAGCCGATTTCTGAGATCTAGGGGCTCATTTTGACGCTAAAACTTCAGATGAAGAGATATGTAGATCAGAATTGACTCAAGATGAACATTATACAGTGTGTCTCACTTCTAATGGAAGAATCCCTGTATCTTTCGTAAATGTTGAGTTAGGATTTTGCCTGGAATCCTAGCCGAATATAAAGTTATTTGGAACCTATAATATCATGTTTCAATGGCTTCCTTGGTCACGAGTCTTTTTCCAGCAAAATTTTTCGGGCTCTCCATAACGTGTTGACGATTAATAACTCAATAATTATAATGAATGGTATAATTAAGGTAAAGGTGTATAGAATAATATGCAGGGTATCCCATTAGATGTTGTTTTATTCTTTGTATCCCATTTGATCTGCACGCTACTGTACTTTTGATAGCACTTTGACAAAATTCAGTCAGTCATAAACTTTTATTATGGTTCATGATGAAAAACCTTGCACACCACTTTTGTACCTTTATGGGTTGATGCCATATTCATTATGGTTGGAATGTTTTCGTTTTTGTATGAAAAAGTACCTTCAATTTTGGGTGACTTTGTTTCAGCACATGGAATTTATAAAAATTTGCAGCTGCACATACCCATCGATAAAACTAACTTTCAATTTATTGGCATTCGACATAAAACAACAAAACTTTCGCCAGCGGCGCTCTCATTGTTTTATACTATCATTATAGGTCATCATATATAAAATTTGGATACTCATCAAACTAGTTTCTAAGCACGCTGGCCTAGAATCCTAGCCGAATTTAAAGTTGGAACCTAGAGACTGAACCTACAACTCATCATTTTTCAATGGCCTCCTTGGCCACACATCTTTCTCCAGCAAAATTTTTCTGGCCCTGCATAACTTGTTAACCTTCTGCCTAAGCGGATTCAAATAAGTTTCTTTCCATTCTTCGACAGTATATTCATCATATATCTTCAGCAAAGCTTCAGTTATGTCCGTATCAAGTTGGTCCAGTTCAAATTTCAATCTATCCACAGACTCCGTAGCGGCCTCAACATAGCTGGGACTGGAAAATGCTCGCGCTATATTGTAATCGTCCATCCAACCTCTGACACGGGAATCGTCCACGATAGACTCGTATTCTTGTTTGAGTTGCTGTAGGTGGAGGACATTCTCAAGGACGTCGCCTCCAGGAAATGCACACCTTGGGCTGCCAAACACAGGGCCGATAAGAGCGTAGGGCTGCTCACATTTCAGAAGTTTTGCTACTTCAATAGGCGGACTTAGTGGTGAATCATTGAAACCTGGTAAATTTGAAAAGTTTTTTTTTTGAGAGATTGTTGAAATAAGGTGGAATTATGCAGCATCATTTAACAATTATCTAGTAACATATATCATTTAACAAGTATCAATTAAAAGTTAAAGTTCCTGTTTTCAATTAAGGTGTGCAGACATTCAACAATTAACAAGTGATAACAAGTAAGAAGTTGGCCAACTTTCAACTTTCTTACTTTGATTGAACCAGGTTTTCTTCTAGTGCGCAACTAGTACACAGATGATCGCGGATTGGTTTCATCGACTGGTAGAGAAGGTGTGGATTGGTCAGACCAATGTCAGACCTAACATCTGACAGATGTTATGAAATTTGTTTCAACACAAAACAATTGCAATTAATAGAATAATTGTGAATAAAAGTGACCCAGTCTCTTCCAGATAAAAAAACATTATGAAATTCGAAATTTAGCTCCTTATGTAAATTCTAAACAACAAATTTGTAAGGTTAGTGCTTTGATAGACCAGATTTAGTGCATGTGTGAAACATATATAAGTGGGGTGAAGAGGATCGTAGTGTAGTTTCATGTGAGCATGCAGGTTTCTGTAAACAACTTGTGTTCATTGATTTCATCATTACCGACAAATATAGCTTTTTTTATCGCTTGGAGCGCACGAAAGGAAATCCCTATAATGTTCAAAGAACATCGTGCGTTCCTAGAGAGGATAGGGACAGGAGGTAGGTATTGAAATTTTTTTGAACTTCTGGAGATTATATGTTGTTGGGAATACTTCCTGAGGCAATGAATTTCAGAGCCTAGCCGTTCTATGGATGAAGGAGTTTTGATAAAGTGCTGTTCGACATCTTTCGAGGTTGACAACGAAAGGATGTGCTGACTGGGCTTGTCTAGTTCGTCTGACTGGTATTGCTAGTGAAGGGATGATAGCAGAGATTTCCGAAGAACATTTCCCGTGGAAATATCGATAGAAAAGTGAAAGGTCGCCGACCTTTCTACGGTGTTCCAATGATGTCAAAGAGTGAGTGAGTATGGCGTCACCCACCAGGCGAATGGCTCTCCTCTGGAATCTAAGAGCATCAGCGTATGTTTTGGTGCTGAAATTCATATGTGGGAACAGTATTCTAGAACAGGCCGTATCTGCGCTTTGTAGATCATGAGAAGCTGTTGAGGTGTAAAGTAACTTTTCGCAACAAGAATCCGAGTTTTTGTCCCAACAGATCATTGATATGCAGAAGGAATAATGTTGGTGCCAAAATTGATCCTTGTGGTACGCCGGAATTGATGCCAATGGTATCAGACGATACACCGTCCTCCACCACCACGTGAAGCGATCTGCCTGAAAGAAAACTCGATATGAGATGGCATAGGTGAGGTGGTAAGCCGTATGATGGTAGTTTGTGGAGGAGTCCTCCGTGCCAAACACGGTCGAATGCTATCGATATGTCCAACGCGAAAGCTAGAGATTCCCCGTGTTTTTCTAATTTGCCATAAATGGGTGACGTAGGCAAGTAGATCTCCAGTAGATCTTCGGTGTAGAAAGCCGTATTGTCTATCATTGATGATTCCTGAGCTTATTAATATAGCCCAGTCAACAAATTTGTTTACACCACAGGTGAGTAGACAGCAAGATCGAATTTTTATTTAGAAGTAGGTCTGCTTTTAAAAGTTTGACAAAACCTTCCTGGAGATATATCCATAGAAAACATGCAAACAAAAAAAAACGTGAAAGTAACATTAACAAGTCTGTTGTCAATCGTTTGAGCTAAAATGTGTAGGTTATATTTTCAAAACGTTATGAGGAAAAAACGAATAGTTCACTTGTTAGTGGGTGGAGCAGTTCACATGTAAAGTGAAGAAAATATGCCGATAGTTTATAAGAAATTGTAGAAAAAGGTTGTGCCAGAAGGCAATCGCAATTATAACGTGGAATAAAGAAGAGGACTGTGAAAGCTGTCAAGAGGGGTCGGCTGAGTATAAGGAGAGGGTGTCCGAACAGTTGGCAGTCCCGTACACTACCGTGAGACGTTGATATAGCTATTTTGATGAACTTCTGTTCGTTTTTTTGTTGGTAATCAATTAATAATTTTTTGAAATGAATTTTCTTGATGCTCTCTACCCATTGACATGTTCGAAGTGATTTTTCAGACATTTGAAAGGTATGATCCTCTTCACCCCAAAATGCGGGGTGAAGCGGATCACACTTTTGATTTTTTTTAAATCCTTCATGATGGTTATTTTTTTTTTCACTAAGCTGTAGAGGAAGGATAAACGAATCATATTTTTTTTTCACACTCTCAAAGCATGTACAGGGTGGGCCAAATTGGACACTTTTGAAGGGGAAGTTCTATTCTCGAACCAGATGGAAGAAAACTGATGTCAGTGCCTGAAGGTCGATTCTCATGAAAAACTCAATTATGAAATCCGCATATCTATATCTGTCTTCGTTTCGGAGTTACAAGGTGTTTTTCGAAAATGAGCATTATTTAAAAGTGGCTACAGATATTTTATTGGCAAAATTTGTCAGTTCTTATTAAAATAACTGCAAAGCATTGAGTTTGTGATAAAAATTCGAGACACTGAAATCGGCCTTCCTATATCTGGTTTAAGAATATAACTTGTTCTTCTTGCAAGAAAAAGGATCAATTTTCATGACAAACACAATGATTTGAGAATGTTTTGATAAAATTCACATTTTTGAAAAACACCTTGTAACTCTGAAATAAAGATATATATCGATATGCGGTTATCACCTCTGAGTTTGTGATATATATGACAGGCACCGACATCAGTTTTTTCAATCTTGTACGGGAATAGGACTTTTCCTTCAATAGTGCCCAATTTGACCCACCCTGTACATTGGATGCAGCGCTGAATAAAACTCAAATTTTGATCCGTTTCACCCCAGTTGACGGTACTTTCCTGGATAATACCACGGAATATTGAATTATATCTGTCAAGTATTGGAAATACAGATCGTATAAAAAAATTTACAAATTAATCGCAGAATATCCCACAATCAGATATGATTATAAAAACAATTCATACCATGAATACCATGATATATCGACAATATCAAACCAATAACTCCATATTGAGGTATGTCAAATAATTCTTTTCTTTATCAATCAAAGAATGAATATATTAAATATGTTAATGTCGCCCTTTCTGGTCCTCCTGACAAGAACATAAGCTTGAAATGTTCAGACCCAAAAACTGTGTGTTGGAGATGCCTTTCTGCATCACGAATGAGTGTTTTTCAGTGAGTCAAATATTTCATAGTTTCGGGTGGCGGAAATTTGATCGAAAGGCAAATGATAGAAAAACATTTGATAGAAACATAAATGATAGAAAATACAATTGATAAAAAAATATTTGATAGAAAATATACTTGATAGAAACAGCATTTGATAGAAAGTTCAACGGGGCTACGCTCAAGTTAGGTCAGTACGTTTGTGAAGATATGATCCTTCTTCATATATTTGAGAAGGAGGAGCTAGATGGAAATCGAAGCTCATATGAATTTATTGATACCACAAACTTCTAGCTCCTTCTTCTCAAATATATGAGGAAGGATCATATATTCACAAACGAACTGACCTAACTTGAGCGTAGCCCCGTTGAATCATCTATCAAATGCTGTTTCTATCAAGTGTATTTTCTATCAAATATTTTTTCTATCAATAATTGTATTTTCTATCCATTTATGTTTCCACCAAATGTATTTTCTATCATAAAACATTCGATCAAATGTATTTTCGGTGAAAAGTTCTTTCTATTTTTTGATTTTCGATCAAAAGACTTCTATCAAATGTTTTTCAATCATTTGTCTTTCGATCAAATTTCCGCCACCCCATAGTTTCATCAATTCTATTCCGATTGATTGTAGATAATGATAAATAGATAACTAAACTACGCAACAATAATTTCGTCGCACCCCAAAATTTTGCCCCTGTTGAAATATGAATAGCTTTTTTCTGCTTTGAACAATAATTTTAATCCGGATCACACTATTCGCTAGCCCGGTCCTACAGCTATAATTTCGTTTTTAATTAAAACATGAGGTTTTTCATATAAAATCGCTGAAACTATAAAAAATTTCTGAATTTTCAAAAGGATCCCAAATGAACAAAAACTTCGTTTTTCAACTTTCACAGCAGAGAATATGAGATGATCTCATTACCTTAGTGACTTTTTCGAATTGTCTTCTTATCTCTTTTATTTACAAAGTGATCTCAAAAATTCATCTTTTTGGTTTTGCCGTCGTATGTTTCTTCCATGACAGCCGATTTTTGTGATCTAGGGGCTCATTTTGAAGCTAAAACTTCAGATGAAGAAATATGAAGATCAGAATTGACTCAAGATGAACATTATACAGTGTGTCTTACTTCTGATGGAAGAATCCCTGTATCTTTCGTAATTGTTGAGTTGGGATTTTGAAATTTTCAGGAGCGGTAGATATACTGAAAATATGACCAAGTGGAGTCATCTCCAGTCATAAACACTGCTCGCCAACAGCCATGAAACCACCCAAAAAATGAAATTAGTGGGCGAGATGGAAAATCACTTCGGATTCAAAATCAGGACATTCAATTCACTAACTTTCTATATTTTGCCTGGAAAATTTTTCAGTTCTAAAAAATTTAATTTTGTCTAAATTTTCATGGAAGCACATCTTACATAATCGATTTTATCTTTGGACTTTCTCCTGCAAATTTCAGAACCCTACCTCAAGAATTACGTAAGATACGTGGGTGCTTCCATGAAAAGTGAAACAAATTTAATTGTTCAGAACTGAAAATTTTCCAGGCAAAATATAAATAGTTAGTGAATTTCAACCTCTCTTGGCTCCTAATACCATTTTCCAGAAATGTGGGTGGTTTCATAGCTGTTGGTGAGCACTGTATATCACTGGAGATGACTCCGGTTGGTCTTAGTGTGTATTTTCAGTATATCTCCCGCTCCTGCAAATTTCAGAATCCTAACTCAACAGTTATGAAAGATACCATAGAAGT